AAAAAAAAAAAAAAAAAAAAAAAAAAAAAAAAAGAAGTTGAACCTGATCAAAGATGCTCATCGATATTTCTTTCACTTCACCCGGATAAACTTGTCGATTGATTGTTGTGTTATTGTTGTTGCTGGTTCAACCAATGTCTTTCACTGCGAATTGTTTAAAAGTACTAACGGGTATACTGTCGATAATATGCCGACACTTCGAACCACTGCCACCACCCACTTATCAGAAGAACAGAGTTGAGCCATTTTTTTCCCCAACCTCTCCCCCCCATCCTCCCATTGCACCCCCCTCTGCTTCCTGTTGCTCGTCTGAATGTTAAAGCAGCTAGCCAACTTCAACTATTATCATCGTCATCATCGGCAGCACCAGCACCAACATCCACATCATCCTCATCGTCTTCATTGCCGACTACAACCAATCTATTGCTTTTACTCAAAAACAGCAGCTGAGAAGGTCAACAGGAACAACAAAAACAACAACAAAAATTTTTTGAACTTTTCACTAGTTGTTGCTTAATCATGAAAGAAAAAAAAAAACAGGTGGAAAAAGTGGTGAATTAATAATTGGGGAGACGTTGGGACAGCCGAGAAAAGTGGTCGACAAATAGCACTGAAACAAAAGTCGAAGCAAACAATTTTTTTCTCAGCATTATTATTACAAAAAATATATATATTCTTATTTTCATTTATTTAGTATATTTATTTAACTTTATTATCATTCGTTTCTTCTTCCTTTTGTTTTCTTCTTTCGCTTTTTCTTTTTCAAACTTTATCTTAGTGCTGTGATTACTGCTGTTCAGATACAGTCGGTGAAACAATAATTGTAAATATTTTGCAACAAAAATTTGTTGAATTAATTTTCCTATCTTTCCTTTTTTTTCTCGTTTATTTCAAATATTATAAGTGTAAATGAAACATTGAGAGATAAATAATGAAAGAAAAAATAAAGGTTAAAAAAACTGAGAGAAATAAAACTCTTAAAAAGTTTTCATTTTTTTTTCGTTTATTTCAATCTGATGTCGACGTCATCCAAATATTTTTGTGGTTTCAGGTACTCGAACCAATAACAACAGCTGGAATTCTGAAGCGTTTGCTAATCAGTGCAGACGTCTGATTTTTTGCTTTAGCCCTAAGACTGTTTCTAGAAAAAAAAAAAAAAAAACGTTTTTTTCGACAAACTTCTAAGAAGAAGAAATGACCCTTTTTTTTTGCCTTCTGTTTTACAGCTAGTTTCTGAGGCACAAACAGATGATGTATACTTTACAGGAATTTGCTATTTAGTTTCCCAAGTATATCTAGAGGTTTTAAAAAAGCACATATAAAAGATGCAACGGTAGATGGTGTCAATTTTGAAACAGATAAATGTTGTTTGCTCTTTTTTTTGACTCTTAGTGGAAGCAGAAAAAGAGAAGAGAAGAAAGTTCAGAAAAATCTGCTTTGTTGGATACCATATAGAATTGGTGAAAAAGAAAATTTCTACAAAGCTTAATGACTTTTTCTTGCAGCTGATATATGTATAATAAAGATGTGATCAATCAATATGACGTAACAGTTTAAAAATGACGATGATTTTATTGAACTTTTAAAGATATGCTAGTTGAATGAACTTCCCAAACAGTAGATATGCTTTTCTTCAAACCAATTTTTAGACCTTACTTCATCTGTCAAGTTGTTTGTAAAAAAAAATTTGTTTTTTTCCATAATTTTTGAGGAACGCCCTGTAAAATTGAAATATTTTTTGCTTGCATTGTTCAGCTGCAATGTTTAAATCGGTCAGTCTAACCCAATTTATATATTCTAGTCAGAATTAAGCGACGGATTTTAGTGTACAAAAATTGGGGAACAAAAGGCTGTTTTTACAAATCTTAATTATCCTAAATGCTACAGAGAGTAAACACTCTGTATAGTATAGAACACTGCCAGTTTTCTTCCTTTTTTTCTGATAGACGTGTTACATTTGATGATTTTTTTTTTTTGCTTAAATTAATAGATAAAATCAAACCAGAAAAAAATGTTTACTTTAGAAAAGAATCTGAAAAAAAAATTTATTTGTTTAATCTTTATCGAAAAAAAAAATACAACTGATTTTTGCAAAAAGATTTTTTTTTCTTTTCTCACTCATATTCAAAACCACTGAACTTGGAAAGCGCTATGAAAATTGGTCGACCATCATTACGCAGAATGCATTAAGGAATCTCCGAAACTGCACGACAACACATCTTTTCAACTGTCGCATCTAAACAAAAGTCAAATTGCCAATCAGAATGGTTGTTGGAAGTGACAGATTGAGAGCGATGGCTAAGAGGGAGACAAGAAAAGAAGAAAAAATGAAGGCAAAAAAAAAAGCAGTAGTCTAAGTTTTGTTGATAGGTTAATTCAGCTGTGTTCGGGTACGTCTATTGACGCACTGGACGTTCGGAAGCTTAAGTTGCTCTTCGCACAATGGTCGTTACATTTAGCGATATAACAGTTACAGCCTACATTTTGTTCGAAGTGTTTCTGCCAACTTACAACTTGACAACATTTAACAGCAGTGGAATAGAGACACCGTATAGTTAAAATCTAGTCACATTTTTTTTTTCAGTTTAGAGCATTAATTAAAACTTTAGGGTTTTCTTGTTCTATTCATTTGACTCGCCAAAGCCCCTTCTTCTTCTTCTTTTTTTTTTGCTGTTTACTATACCAATATATGTATACAGCTCTAAGTAGATTTTAGAAGAATATGAGCTCTAGTTAAACTGGAATGACCTGAAATTCATCAAAAAACTATCAGCGAAATGTTCCCCGCTAAATGCAAATTGTTTCATGATACAAGGGCATCAAAACTACTTGCACTAGTTACATTTTACAAATGAAATTTTTTTCTTTTATTGTTATAAATTTTTGAAACAAATATAACTGCTTCAGGTTTACATAACAAGTTTTTGTATTGAAATATGTTAAAATCCAAAATCGTTGAATATATACTGATCAGTCTTAGACAGTTTTTGCTCAACATTACAGTACTACAGCAATATAGTGATGTTACTGAGTGATATTTGATGTAAAAACGATTTCAACCTATCAACAACTATTATTCAGTTATTGATGAGCACTGAATGTTGTCTGTCTTGATGCTTACCTACCAAACGCTAACGTCTTCCACGTTTTTATACGTTCACGATGGTTAACAACTAAAATAA